TTGTTTATGTCTAATTTTAATGATCCTACCATTATTTATGAGGATCAACATCATTTTTTGTTTTCAGTGTTCGATCACAATACTTTGTGTAGCATTTAGATGGTTGGAGGTAGTCAACAGGAAACCCTGGACACGGGTTTCGTGCTACTTGGCACTCGTCAGCAAGGTGTACCTGTAATCTTGAGGGAACTGGTGCTCCCTGGCGGATTCGATCTTGTGCCCGCAGTGTCGAGTCACCTAGACTGGTGGCCACATTGCAACATGATCGATAGCATTCGATCTGCACTAATAAGGACTAGACAAGCAAGACATTGATCACCACCCAGTGATCAATTAATTGTAGCTATTAGTAGCATCCTCAGTTTAAACTATTCTATCATAGGAAACATTCATCGAGTAAATGAATGGAAAGCAGTTAGCTAATGCATACGTACTAAACAATCAGATATAGATAAGCTATGAAATCATGGACAGATACCCTATAAATAATCCCCCCCTTACAACATGATCTGTAATGCTTTTTTGAAGAGTATTAACCATAAATTTGTATGTTTTATGTATTTTTGATTTTGTAAATTTCAAAACTATTACTAACCTGATAATGTTTTACTCTTTCATATAACAAACTGATTACATATATCTACATTGTGTGGCATTTTCTTGATCTTCCATGGAAATTACCAAAATCACTTTACATTGTGTGATCATCAATGAAATTTGTTACAGTTTATTACTTGACAACCCAAATTTAATTTATCAAAATAACTCAAAACATTCAATCACTGTTCAAGACTCTTTAACATGATCTAAGTAATTATTGATTGAGTTCATGAAACGATCGATTATAGACCACCACTGAAAACCTGTAAGCGCTTAACGGTTTTTTTTATCTTCGTATGGGACTCCTCAGTAGTGCACATCCACGGTGTCGGCTCAATGGTTTAGAGATTAAGCGTTCACTCACTAGACAGAACGTCATGGATTGGAATCTCGCGTGCGGGATTGTGGAGGAGCGTTGCTAAGGTTTTCCATACTAGTACGAAACGGTCGTTCAGTGCTTCCGGGTTTTCTATAGTGATTCAGCTTACATCGAATCATGAATTCAACTATTAAAATCAGAAAACATCAACTCATCAACTTACCCTAATTATTATGGAATAGCTTATCAATTAATGTATTCTAATTATTACCAGAAACTCTTGACGAAGAATGTACTTGTATAGATCATTATATTCTATTAAAAAATTACCCTCAAACGTTTGTAAAGAAACACATTATGTAGTACAGTATTAAAATGCAAGTTAATAAACCTGAAGTTTGTTCTGATGATGTTGTTTAGAGAAATAATGAAAGCTACACGACCAAAGCATCTATATCAGAGAATGAAACTTTGCCAAAAAGAACCATACTTCTGTATAACTGGAATTCAAAGGTGATTAAATCAGAAATAAAATAAATCTTACTCTAAAGACACCTTTAAAAAGTTCCGCTCAAATGTGAAATCTAATCAAATTATGATATCCAATGTCAGTCTATTGGTGATTCCGTTTTATAATCGTGTATCAATTCGATATCTACTGTCTTCATTATGGTTAACTGTTTCCATCGATCTCAAGATCGACCACATAGTTCAGTTCGGAAGTACACACACAAAAACAACATTTGAACTGGTAAAACAATAAGGTGTGTTTCTATACACTTTACTGATTATATTCCCAAGAACATTCCATCACTGACAAAAACGATTACGTAATTTGATAGAATACCATATTTAGAAGGCACGATACAATTTGGGTGCATTGAATGCGTTCAAAATTATAAATAAAGAGATTAAATCTGCGTAAATAAGATTTGCGGCAGCCATAGTAATTAAAACGCTTAAGCCTGTGTTTTATTGTATTCAACATGTACCAGTAGTCAGGCCTCAACTTCTTTTTTATTTGAAGTGACAGTTTCTCCGTGTTTCTTTCTTGAATTAATTTTACCCTTAATTTTATGAGCTTAATTCACTTTTGTTTTTACTTCTTATACATGTTGTATGTTTCATTGAGTTACGCAATAAAAGTATATTAATAATACTCTAGAATTATCACTACAAGTGCTCTTAATCGTAGTTAGATTGGGGCCAACAATGGAATCTAGGACTTGTGTTCCGTTCTGTTTGAGACCGATCATTTAAAGATACCTGATACAGCCATAATGATGTTTACTCCGAGACTGAAACCTTGTAACTTTCGCTTTAAGTGTTTAAGCAATATACACTGAATTACTGAGTACAGATGGTCAGTGACTTGTGCAACATGAACGAATTTTAATTCGATTATGAGGGACTGAACTTTCTATTGTCACTGTTTACTGTTGTTATTGATGTATCGTTTTTAGCACATATTCATCTTAAATAGATTGTGACTAATAGCAACATCGAAACAATTTACTCAGGTTGTACATATACAAAATGAACTGATTAATCACTATCACTAGCAATAACAATGTAAAAGTTTAAAACCTTTTTAGGTGAATTGTATTGTAGTGAACAAACAAGATTCCAGCTGAATAGAAAATTAGTAAAAGATGATAGAAATGAATAAGACATATATTACGCAAATCATCAAACTGCACCACGAGGCAAGTCCTAACTTGGATTCTTGAAGAGAAGTGGAAAAGGGCAAGACGAAAGAACACGTTATGTCGAGAAATAGAATCAGATATGAAAAAGATGAATAACAACTGGAAAGAGCTGGAAAGGATTGCCCAAAACAGGGTTGGATGGAGAGTGCAGGTAGGTGGTCAATGCTCCTTCACGAGGAGTAACAGACGTAGGTAAGCAAGTGTATGTGCATCTGTACGGTGGATTTAGGTAAATATCCTTTTTCTTTTTCTGTCTAAATTTTTGGTGGGGGTGGAAGAGCGGGATATTTAATTTAATTACATTGACAACTTTAAATTGTTTTTGTTCTGAAAAAAATCACCCTCTTCCATTTATCTATAAATGACTAATTTATTTAATTGGACAATAAAAGGAAATAGAAGAAACGAGCTATGTTTCAGTCTATATCCATATTTAATGGTGTTTATCATTTAAATTTATAAGACACTGGAGAATTTAAATTATATGATTTGATAGTTACCATGCCTAATACTAATATAAGCTTAGAAATTATTAGTTTTATGCTTGTTTCCAAGTATCACATTTCCCTTCATACAGATGATATAAACATGTTCAGTTGATAGAATACTCGATGAGACTATAATTTATGAACGACCTTTGAGCGATGTTAAAGTTGTAGTGAACAGAACACGGGTGAGGACAATCGAAGGTATTTGGCACAAAATTACAGAACTTGTTAATAAAATCTAACAATCATATAGTAAATGCTTAATTTGCGAAATCTCCATCGATTGTCTCATAATGACTCAGAATTCATTGTTTTTGCATTTTCATACAAATTGCATTATGTTTCCATTGTTTACTGTTCGATCCTCTTGTCTCTCTGCTGCCAGACATTCTGTTCACGATTAACATCATTTACTACTTATGTCAATATAAGTAGCACACACCACAAGGTGACCTGCAGAGTGGAAACCTACTGATTAGAACTAAATGATGGTTATAAATTAGTTAGAAATTTGCTTTACAATTGATGGTTAATGTTAAGATTTAAATGGATGAATTACGCGACAAAATTCATGACTCGTTATTTCAAATCTGATTCACCAGTCCATAAATTACAGTCTCGCCGAATATTCTGTTCTCAAACAATAAATTCTTAATGGCTTCTAATGTTTATTTAGATTATTCTGTAGGAATTTCATTGTGAGCTGAACTGTTCAATTGTAACGTTTTCATTGAACAACATCAGCACAAACTTCTGATAGGAGTAAGATATTTGAATTTCTACACATATGAGTGACAGTTTATCTTGTCGAATTTTTGTTTGATTAGTTGGCCTTTAATCTGTTGTTATATTGATGCGCATTATTGAAGAGTCTCATAGTAATAGTCGTACAGTGCTTCCTGGTTTTCACAAGAGATCTAACTTAAATCGGTTCATAATTTGAATGAAATTCAACGATAATCATAACTTCATACTGTTTATTTATTTATTCCATCTCCACCTTCGAAATGTTTCTTGATCCCAAGCATGCTCACGATTTTTCTAACTATTTGATAAATCGGTTTGATTTCTGTATGTTTATTGATTACTGATTGAGCTAGGTGTCGGGCTTTTAAAAAATCACTCGTGTTCTTAGTACTATTTCAAGATTTTCTTAACTGAACATGTCCACATAGTTATTATTAATATGCATTGACAACCTACTGTGGCAGAGAACAAACCAGATTTCAATGGAGGAAGAAATCAGAAAGAAGCGATGGAAGTGGATAAAACACACATTGAGGAAAGAACCTATCTGCGTCACAAGGCAAGCTCTCACCTGAAATCCTCAAGGGCAATGGAGAAGAGGAAGACGTAAGAACACTTTACACTGAAAAATGTAGACAGACATGAAATGAATGAACAGGAATTGGATGGATTTAAAAAGGAAGGCGTAGGACAGAGTGGGTTGTAGAATGCTGTTCGGCGGACCATGCTCCATTGGGAGTAACAGATGTAATTAAGTTAATAAGTAAGGAAGAAATGCCATAACTAACCACTGCCTTGTCTAGCTGAGCCTTATTCGACTTAACTATAAATTTGCCTTTTAATTTGCTTGCATACACACACACACACATTCACCTCTTTACTTCGAATTCGCTCGATGTGCTTATCACTTTGTTGTCCGTACTATTCGCTAATGAACTTTAAATCACCGCTTCTTATTGCCCTTTGAATTCAACTACCGTTAGGATTTATACATAACAACGGTTACAAAGGTAATAGGTTAGCGTAACAAAGCCACTACAGTGTGATCTAGTTTAGACAAATGAATAAAAGCTCATTTAATCCGTAATATAACCATTACATATAATAACAATGGAGTAATAATAATGATAATCTTTTCTCTGTTACATATTTGATGTTGTTTCTGTTAAAGTAATCTGTTGATTTTCATCTTCATAATTTTTATAAAAATTATTTACAACAGAATGATTAGTAAATGTATAATGAATATTTGATAAATGTTGATCATCTTCAATGATATTCATCCAATTGTAAACAGGTTCATTTCCATGAATCATATTGTATCCAACCGCTGTGAACAACAACAAGAAAACAACAAGAGAATGAAAACTTACAATGTTTTAAAATTAACTTGTGAATGAAGCATAGATGAATGATAGTTAGAAATGGAATCTGGGATATGTGTTTCATCCTATTTGGCATTCGTCAATTGGATGTACCTGCATCTCAGATTTGTTGATATTCACTCTGAGTATCGAAACTAGTATAGGTTTACTTCAAAAGCCATCGTGTTATACACATAGTTATTGAGTCCTGATAGTCACCTGTTCATACAAGCAAGACGAAACACTCATCCTGGATTCCACTAGTAGCCGTTATCCATCTTTGTTTATAATGCTTGTGAATTAAGGCAATGTCGAGGTGGTCCTTACAACATGCACATATGCCAATGAAGAGACTGATCAACCGCAGTCCTAAACAACAATGAGAAGATATAAGCAATCTTGTCGTTTGTCTAAATATAGTCATCATGCCATAAGTTTCTGTTGAAAAGATCGGATGTGACTAGCAGCAGAACCTTTGACACATTTTTCTCCCCATTTCAAATTTGTCTATCGCTTGATGTACCTTACTTTCAGAGTTGATGCCCTTTCTCCAAGTCAAACGCAGTATCTTATACTTCGAACACTCAACTTTGTTATCCATATGGATAGTGAGTCTAGATAGTTACCGACTTGTTCAACCATTAAAAAACAGATTTAAATTCATGAATCTTGTACAAGTGATAGCTATCAGGACTCAGTGGCTAAGTGTATATATTATTCTTAATATTCACTTCATAATGGTTATGGTACTTTGATAAGAAAGAAGTTGACCGTGATAATGTAAATGCTATTTTGTTCAACCAATTTAATCAGCCGAATGAATAATTAGTGTAATTATCTAAGAAAGTCAACTACTCCCTAAATATCCACCACCATTTCATCTCCAAACACCAAGCATTCATTCACAACACATAATGAGTTCCGACAGTGGTAAAACTGCTTCATGTCACCATCAAGTTCAGTTGACGGCCAGCGATTTGTGGTGTTGTTCATCGTTCTCTAAATGATAGAGTCATTCCTGGCGCCAGTTTGTATCTTAGATGCTGAGACTGGCAAGGTGCGAACAGAAGTTGTCAGGTAACAATGCGCGTGGTCCTCTGTCATAAGGGAGGCAATAACTGCATCTTCATCGACCTTAGGGTGTTTGCTGATAAGTCGTGACAGGGCGTCTACCTGACCAAACTGTTGGATGCGCCAATACTGATTGTCGAAATCATAACCCAAAAGTATCAAAGCCCATTGCTGGAGACGGTTTGCAGTGTGGGCTGGAACACCAAATTTTGAACGAAAAATTGTAAGAGGCTTGTGGTTAGTAGGAGGAGTAAATCTTCGACCGTGCAAGGGTGAGAGCCTCCTTCTCTATATGACTGTACTTCCTTTCTGCATGATAGCATCCTCTGATTTCAAACCTGCAACATCAAAGATGAATAACTCACTCTGTCCTTCTCCTTCCTTTCCAGTTCTATCCAATTCTTGTTCATTCTTCGAATGTTTATCTTTATTTCTCGATGCGATGTGTTCTATGATATTCCTCTCGTCCTTTGATCTTGAAGATTTCAAGTGAGGGTTTGGTTTGTGACACTGCTGGATGCTTTCTTGAATGTTTGTTCTATCCACTTCTATCGCTTCTTCCTCATTTCTTCCTCCACTGGAATCTGGTTTGTTCTCTCCCACAGTTGGTTTTTGCTGATAATGTCTGGTCAACAGATCAAAAGTATTTTGTACAGACAACGGTTAGTAAACCCTTGTATGTTATCGATGATGGCTTTCGTAGTTCACCAAGCTTCTGCCCCATACAGTAGAACTGTGTCGACATTGCTATTGAAAATTGTGAATTTGATGTTGGTTGACAGCTGTTTTGAGTTCCAGATGTTCTTCATTTATAGATGCATAACTCCCGGTTTGCCGATTTGCGCCTTCACATCTACATCTGATCCACCGAGTTGATCAGTGATGCTCCCTAGATATGTAAAGGTTTTTACATCTTCCAAATCTTCTCCGTCAAGTGTAATTCGATTGTTGAATGCTGTACTGTATCAGAGAATCTTGCTTTTCCCTTTGTGTATGTTGAAACCTACTGCTACTGAGACTGCTGCTACCCTGGTCATCTTCTCCTACATTTTTTGTTGCATATGTGTCATAGAATAGCCAGATCATTTATGAAGTCTAATACGTCTAGCTACATTCTAGCTGTCTATTGTATCCAATGTTTCCCCACCCCCACCCAGATGTTAATATCTTCATGATCTAATCGATCGGAAAACGAAAACGGATCAATGATTTATCAATAATTATTTCTAATCTAATACAATTATACTACAAATTATAACAAAAACAAACTTACGTGAACTTGTTAAATTTCCCATATTTTCATAATGTAATCCATTTGTATAATACATATTTGTTGTGATAGGAAGATCATTATTAAATTGAATAATATCAGTTGAATGATAATGATGATTTATTTCATTATGACTATATATACTATTTCTATTCATATTTATACTACTACTACTAGGATTACTATGGTTACTATTATTATTATTATTACTACTACTACTACTACTATTAATTGATTTAAGTAGTATCTCTTCATTATGATTAGATGTTAAACATAATAATTGATTTTGTTCATCAATAATAATATTTACATTCGATTTATATTGATTCATTAATTTTGATTTACATTTATTACGATAAATAATAATCATAATCATTATAATGATTATTATAATGAATATAATTACTATAGTAATAAGTATCATAGATAATAATAAATGTTTATTTGTTTTCATTAATTGATTATTTCCAATGGGTAATTCGATATTTTGTTCCGGTAAATTATATACATTATTATTATTACCATTATAAGGGTTAATAGATATGGATGGATTCAGAGGAGAATGTACAGATGAACTTGATAATAATGATGATGTTGTTGAATAAGAAGAAGATCTAGATATAGAATTATATGATATAGAATCAGGTAAATCATTAATTGGTTGTTGATGAAGTTCTGTTGGTAATATATTAAGAAATATAATACATGTTGTATTAAATAATTCAGGTTGACTATAATCTTGTATATCGATGCATAAAATATATCTAAAAAAAATTTTAAAAAAAAAAGAGAATCTTTATGATCATTTGAGAAACAATAACCAATTTATGATCTGAATCAAAACAAAACTTCATAATATCTACAGTCCCATACTTACTAGCGATTAGCTTTGTGAGAGAATTCTTGGAGTTCTAGTAAAAAGCCATAGACAGTGGAGTTAATCCTTGTCGGATAAAGAAAAGTATCTACGTCAGTACAATGGAAGATGGTCGTGTGATTTCATGGATTGATTGAGGTTAGAAATCAACAGCCCCGGGATGCCGGCCCAGTGGTCTAGAGTTCAAGCATTCGTGCGCAAAACTGAAGGTCATGGGTTCGAATCCCGTGGGGGGCGTGATTGTGGACGAAACGGCCATTTAGTGCTTGAAGGTTTTTCATGGTGACCTAGCTTCAATTGACTCATAATTTCAACTACTGGCATTCCTAAAAATAACTTTATTTAATCAGAAATAACATGAATTCCTATTAGTTTATACATTTTTGTTTCTAAAATCTATGTCAAATTAGTTGTCATTCCAAAACAAAACAGAAACTTAGTATTTTGAATATCATTACATACTATAAAACACTTTATTCAAAGACGGAAATGTCTATTATGATGATTACAAATTTATATTCTTATCATTATAACATCAAACACCAATCAAGTATTTATTCATATACCCATTTCACTGTTCACTACCAGATATCAATGAAATACTCATATTTAATTAATAACTTGTATTTCAATCATGAATAATCTAATGTATCAAGGAATTAATCAGTTGAATGAATGAAGAAATCATAATTTTGAACTTATTTATCAGATTTACATTTATAATAACATAATCAATGATCAATATCTTGTTTATTCAATCCTTTGTTATGTTGATTAAATTGGATGATTAATAATTACAGTTAGAAAACTAGTTTAAGTGATTAGATATTAGATATACTATATATGGGGGGACGGCCAAACCAAAACGTGACATCAATGCTTGAAGATAGTCTGAGCCATGTTGGTAGATGCAGACGACTTGGTTGGGATCCGCTTCACTATCGTAACCAATAGTTGGAGACTCTTGGTGACATGACTCGGAATCGATCACAATGGAGTCGGTGTATACACTCTCTGTTTTCCCTTAAACTATGAGATTATCTTTCTTTCTACGAACTAATTCTTTCTTACTGTAGTATATGCTTATACACAATCTTTCTTTTATATATTACCACCTCTGAATTAACTACTTTTATGAATCCGTGTTCATCTTGTTGTGTTAATGAGGTATGGCAACTTGGACTGATGGGCATATATATGCGAAATTCATTCATGGCTAGGTAGTGTCTTGGCATTTTAGCTGATATGACTTTTTGATAAAAACCTTAAATTTAATCCATATCCTTAACCATTAACTGTAAATCATAATTCTTATCCTTCACGCGGGTTTTTAAACCCTTATTTAGCTTGTAGTCAGTAGATGGACATTCTTGAGGTCACTTTAGCGTCACTCAAAGATCGTCAATAAATTATAGTCTCACCCTTAGGTGTGACGGGAGAAAAACCCTGAAAATTCCTTTACACCATTTCGTTGAACTGTATCGTCATTTATTTGTACTTTCACCCTGTCTTTTATTTGAACCTTTATTCACGTATCCTCAGTCATCTTTGTTTGAGTTTTTGTTATATAACCTTAATTGAAGACTTACCTTTTGTTATTTAATTTTACTATTGCATGTCACCTAACTTTTGATAATAAGGTGGAGTTTGACTAAACTTAAGGTCACACCATGGTTCAGTGTACGATTGTTAACCTCTGACTATCTGTTTGGAAAAATCGCTAGAATCTTTGCATATAGACATCTGATCTTATCTTGTTGGGAATATTTTTATTGATTCTTAAGTATCGAACTATTGCTTATTCGCTATTCCTTTTGTTGTTTAGCACGTTAATTTGGGTTAGCTAACCTCTTGACTGTATAGCACAAGCTGAACGTTTTGAGGTGTTTTGTACTTTTGATATAATTTATTCTCTTTCTCAAATTAGAGTCATTTAAATTGAACACATGGTTTGTGTTTTGATATAATTTAATACAAAAATGCTTCGTACGCTATACAAACGAACGTATTCAGATCGTTAATTCTGCGTTCAAACTGAATATTGACATTTTGGTCGTTGCACTAGGTTTGATATTATTTTCATAATGATGATTTGTAGAGATTGTATTGAATTTAGCAGTTGAATTAATGAATCGATCTAAGTTAGACCATCATTGAAAATCTGGAAGCACTGAACGGCAGTTATTTGTCACTCGTCAACTAAATGTGTCTACAATCTTGAGAGCATTGTTGCAACTTGGTCAATAAAAGTCGACCAAAAACCATCACAATTCAACAAGATCTAATTATTAAATTAGAAAATCATATTTGTTGCCGAAAAAATTGTAATTTACAGTTGATTGATCACTGTGTGGTGATCAATGTTATGTGTGTGTCAGATCCTTCTTAGTACAGATCGAATCTTATCGATCAAGTTTCAATGTGGCCACTAGTCTAGGTGACTAGATATTGCGTGCTACATGTTGACAGGCAGACAATAGGAAACCTTGGACCCAGATTTTTTGCTACTTGGCACTCGTCATTAAGGTGCATGTGTACTCTTTTTAGGAACTAATGCTCCATGACTGATCCGAGCCGTGATTGACCTGTTGTAGTATTCGGATAGTCCAATGATAATGTTTCTAACTAAGAAGCTGAGTAACAAGGAGTGGAATCTGTCAGGGAGCATCAATTTCCTTAAGATTACAAATACACTTTGATGACAAGTGCCAGGTAGCACTATACCTAGGTGCAGAATTCCCTGTTGTCTATCTCTAACAGGATGAATGAAATAACAAATTAACACATCATTTATTCATTATGATTCAAATCACTTAAACCTGGCTTCTCTATGTTAAATAGTTTTGTAGTGAAGGAGGACACAGGTGAGGACAACCGAATTATATGGAGCACAACATTACAGAGTTATTTGATAAAATAGAGAAACCATACTATAAAACCAAGTTTGCAAATGTTCAATAATTGTGTAAGACTTCATTTTTCTTGCATTTCTATACTAATTGCTTTCTATTCCCGCTCTTCCTTTCTTGATCTTACTCCATCTTCTACTGCCAGATATTACATTCCTGACTCGTATTATATACTACTACTTATATCAATATAAGTAGCACCATAGTATTACTAACATTCATATAAGAAATCTTATTCACAACTTAATAAACAGGTGTTTATATGGTTACACATATACAATATACCAATGATAACTTACTCTCCTACATCCATCAACACTAATTGTCTAGTAACACTTAATATACCAGTATATGGATTTAATGAAAGAAATGGTTTACCATTCCATAGTTTTAAATGATCTTTCATTTCTTTTTCAATATTATTATTATTACTATAGTTTTTATCCGCCCAATATATTTTGGGTAGCAACCAAATATGACGTAATATATAAATTAATTTGTTACTATGTGATATCATATTCTCATTTTGTTGATTTAATTTTATAATTTTATAATCTTTAATCACTTTATAAGATATAGATATATTAGTTATACAATAAGGTGATTTTAAACCAATTTGTTTCAATATTATATAATATGGTTTATTGATTGATTGAATTAAATTAAATGATTTATCAATTAATTGATTATTTGTATATTGATTTTTTATATTATACAGAAAAATTTTAATTGATTTAATAGAATATTTTGATGAGATTAAAGTTGGTGTAATAATCAAAAGATATTGATTTTTTAATGAATATTCAATAAATGGATTAATATTGATTTGATAACCATGACATAATAAATTTGATCGATTATGATTAGGATTAGGATTAGGATTACATGGAAATTGGACCGGTTTTAAAATAAAATCTTTTGAATCTTGTTCATTCATTGTTAACAAGGAATCATATACTTTTAATGTTAATTCACAATATGGATTTATATTATCATAATGATTAGATGATGATGATGATGATGATGATGATGATGAAGAATATTGAATACAATAAATGATCATCTTCGACAATATTGATTCATTTAAATTCATAAAATCTGTTATATAGAATTGATATGTATCATTAGTATAGGTTTGAATGAATGAATTGGATTGATTCATTTGTAAATAAATTATTATTTGATTATGATCATTATGAATAAGATCAAGATTAGAAGGATCTTTTATTAGATCATTTGATAAGAACATTTCTATAGAATAATCATTATTGAAATTTAATGTTAAATTAATTAATATTTGTATTTTATAATTAAGATTTTTAGAATAATCATATAATGTACCAATTTTTGATGCTTCAATTAATAATTGTTTTGTAATTATGTTTCTAGATGAATTTAATTGTTTAATTAAACTAACTATACCGGATGTTGAATTAATAGTAAAAGAATTTTCTAGAAAAAACAATTTTAAAAGAGAAAAACAATATTTAATTATTAGTATTAGAAGGAGTATTGTAGAGATTGTAGTAATTTCACAATAGTTGAGATCATGAACCAATTGAAAGTAGATCATCATGGGAAACCTTGAAAGCACTGGACGAGCGTTTCATCTTATTGTAGGACTCCTCAGTGGTGGGCATCCACGACACAGCCTCGCGAGATTCGAAACGAGGACACTGATGACAATGGTGGAAATGTTGTCTAATTTCGTGAATTAGTTGAAGTTATAAATTAACATCGTTGGATGCCGACCGGATCAGTGGTCTAGTTGGTTAAGCTCCTGGCGCGAGACTGATAGGTCCTAAGTTTGAATCTCGCAAAACGGAGTTGTGAATGCGCACTGCTAAGGAGTCCCTTAATAGGACGAAACATCTGTCTAGTGATTCTAGGTTTCCCATGGTCGTCTAGGTTCAATTGACTCATGATTTGAGTTGTTGAAATTCAATTATTAATTTAATTAAAAGTTTTAGACGACTATTTCGTTCTAATATTGAACACTTTAGTAGTATACATCCCAGGTCCTGTTCACGGGATTCGAACTCAAAGCTTTCGATCTAATTCATGAATGTTTAACTTGTAGACAATTCAGCCAGTATTCGATGATCTTAGGTTTGAAGCCTGTGAACAGAACCTTCAATGTACATTGATGAAACTTTCCATATTAAGATGAAATGGCTGTTCAGTTCTTTTAAATTTTTCATGGTGGTCTACAATCATTACAAAACCCATCTCTGATGAATTTAATGTGTTAAATGTTATAACTTATATCAGTGAACATTTGTCTATTCATATTCACATTTAGTCGTACTTTATAAGTATCGGGTTATAGAAATGTTTGAGTGTCATTTAAAACCTGAACCGGTATAATTTAGACAATCATTCAAAACCTGAAAGTACTAAACAGCCTCTTCAATCTATTATGGCATTCACTAGTGAGAATTGCATTTCCGCATTACCTCAGTCAGGAATCGAACCTAGGCTCTCCAGTTTTACATACTTATATCTAACCTTATAAGTTGAGTAATTGTAAGTTATAATTCAGTGATATGACAAATTGATTGATGTAGTACATTATAACTGTGTAATATATACTATGTGATTAAAACGTATCATCGTTTACTTTAAGCTTAAAACGTCATTGTTTAATGTTGTATGAAATTATGATTATGTAATGATCAACCGCTAGGTTTTCTATTTCTTTAATCTCTATGAAACGAATAGTATACAGTGCACAATGTTCCATAGTGAATAATATGTTACTGAATCCTTCTAAATTTCAAACACTTCATTTGAGCTTAACACATGATAATAGGTTTCGACAGATGCTAGAGCCCTTATAACTATTCTGATACGATCGATTCTATGAAAATTAATCTAATGGGATCTTTAAAGTTTGTATAATTTTCTTTAGTTATTCAAATCATCGAATGATCTTAACTAGATCTCTATCAAAAAAGGACGAAACACATATCCAATGTATATTAGCTTTCAACGATAATCTATGGTGACATTTATCTCACGGTCCTTATTTCATCTGATGTCTGTAAAGTTTCATGTGTTTGATTTCATTTGCCATAGAAACAAATCTTTGTTTATTGCATAACCATAAGATTTGCACATTCTTGTATATGACCAGTCCTCGTCATTCATTATCAGATCTTTAAGATACAATGTTGATGAGAAATATTTAAGTAACACTTTTTTTTCTTTCTGAAATCTTGAAGATAATGAACAAACTTTAGTAAATACAGAACAGTAATTATATTCAGAACATTTCACTTATTGATTATCTGACAATGAAAGTCAACTGATGCTCAGCGAGGCTAGAATTTATGAACGAGCCAATCAGAAGCATTTCAGTGAGCTCAAGGTCAATGTGCCAATTTCAATAATTGATACTCACGTACGATCAGTTCATAGAGATTTTAGAGAAAATGTGATAAATGAACGGCTACAACAAATAATTCTACTAAGAAGTTCTTTTATTTTTAATTGTAGTAATCAAATAACTTGGAGGAAGGAGTATGTTAAAATAGGGACTTTTTTTGTCTAGATCTAGATTGAAACTAAGTGAAAGTATAATCATTGTTGCGAACTGTATAATAAAAGCAACATTCTCAGATGTTACTGGAACTTCGGTTGTTTATTGGTATGAGTATTGCAGACACAATATGCGCAATGAAAATAAAAAGCTTACATAACCCTAGTGCACACAAACAACATTGAAGCTATGTAATCGAGGCTGAAAGAGTTTTCGCGACCTTATCATAGCTCCAAAGGTCTACTATTATGGAGTCATATGGATGATTTCCTCTGCCTTATGCATTACAATTTTAGAACCTCTGAACCTCTTTCTAACCTTTACAAGTTCCTGAACCATTCAAACGAAATGTATCCACTGTAATTATTTGGTTTGGTATAATATATTTTAACTCCATACTGACTGTTTGCTGATAGGCTAATATTTTCAAAGATCACTTGGAATTCGTTCAAAGGTCGTTCATAACTTATAGTCTTGCCAAAATGTGAACATAGAAATTTCTTTAATGTTAATGAGAGTTCTTCATATTATACTAAATATATTTCATTTTTGTATTAGTTGCTTCACTCCTCCAATTGATGTTTAAGACTGCAATCGATTAGTCTCTTATTAGTATATGTGCATCCAATCTGGCTCACTTCAGTACTACCTTAAGTCGCAAGCATTATAAGCAAAGATGGATAGTGGTTAGCAGTGGAATCCAGTTGGACGCACGTTACGTCCTATTTGAGACTAGTCAGCTGGATGTAAATACAGTCCAGAGTTCATGTTCACTCTGGGACTCGAATCCAGTACCTTTCATTTCAAACACCATCCGTTATGTGACTTAAGGCAATATCTAGGTAATCCACACAGGATGCAAATATTCTAACAAGAGACCGATCAATGGCAGTGCTAAACAACAATGGAAAGAGTTAAGCAAACAATATCTGGTTTTAATAATTTTCCTTCTTAGCTGCTATGTAGGTTGAAAAGAAATTCCTTTATATTTCTTATATACTGATCTAAATAAATATTCCATTTTGAGGCTAGATTCTAGAATTCAATGATTATATTTCTACGATTGATCAGTTGAAATCCTAAACATCAACCAATACAAAAATGAAATAAATTTCACCCTATTGCATAAACCGGTGGTTACTTAGACTCAATAACTTTTTAAATAATGAGATGGAATTTGAAGCTAATGGTACTGATTTCAAATCCTGAAGTGAGCATCAACTCTGAGATGTAGGTACATCCAACCGATGAGTCTCAAATAGGACGAAACGCACGTTCTGGATTCCACTATTAATCATCTCATATTTTATACTAAGTATATTTAGTATGGAAGAAAGTATATATATATATATATATATATATATATATATATATATATATATATATATATATATATATATATATAACATACGGAATTCTTATGATGGATTAAACTGCGAAATCGTGCATCGATGGCAGCTGACAGACTCGTTTGAGGTAAAGACCGGTGTTAGGCAGGGTTGCTTACTTTCACCCTTCCTCTTTTTCCTGGTGATCGACTGGATCATAAAGACGCCAACATCCGAGGGGAAGCATGAAATACAGTGCACAGCTGCTGAACGACCTAGATTTCGTAAATGATCTGGCTATTCTATGACACATATGCAACAACAAATATAGGAGAAGACGACCAGTGTAGCAGCAGCTTCAGAAGCAGTACGTCTGAACATGAACAAAAGGAAAAGCAAGATTCTCTGATACAACACAGAATGCACGAAACCAATAACAATCAATGGAGAAGATTTGGAAGACGTGAAAACCCTTACATATTTGGGCAGCATCATTGGTGAACACGGTGGATCAGATTTGAATGCGCGGATCAGCAAAACAAGAGTGGCATATCTACAATTGAAGAATATCTGCAACTCAAAACAACTGTCTGTTTGTCAACTAACACCAAATTCAGAATTTTTAATACAAATGTCAAGACAGTTCTACTATATAAGATGGAAACTTGGTGAACTACGAAAGTCATCATTCAGAACATACAAGTGTTTACTAACCGTTGTCTGTACAAAATACTTTGGATCTGTTGGCCAGACATTATCAGCAACAACTTACTGTAGGAGAGAACAAATCAGATTCCATTGGAGGAAGAAATGAGGAAGAATTGATGGAAGTGGATAGAACACACAATGAGGAAAGCATCCAACTGTGTCACAAAGCAAGCGCTTACTTGAAATGTTCAAGGAGAAATGAGAAGAGGAAGATGTAAGAACACATGACACCGAGAAATGGATACAGATATGAGAAGAATGAACAAGGATTGGATAGAACTAGAAATAAAGGCATAGGACAGAGTGAGTTGGAGAATGCTGTTCGGCGGCCTATGCTCGATTGGGAATAACATGCGTAAGTAAGTAAGTAAGTAAGTAAGTAAGTAAGTAAGTAAGTAAGTAAGTAAGTAAGTAAGTAAGTAAGTAAGTAAGTAAGTAAGTAAGTAAGTAAGTAAGTAAGTAAGTAAGTAAGTAAGTAAGTAAGTAAGTAAGTAAGTAAGTAAGTAAGTAAGTAAGTAAGTAAGTAAGTAAGTAAGTAAGTAAGTAAGTAAGTAAGTAAGTAAGTAAGTAAGTAAGTAAGTAAGTAAGTAAGTAAGTAAGTAAGTAAGTAAGTAAGTAAGTAAGTAAGTAAGTAAGTAAGTAAGTAAGTAAGTAAGTAAGTAAGTAAGTAAGTAAGTAAGTAAGTAAGTAAGTAAGTAAGTAAGTAAGTAAGTAAGTAAGTAAGTAAGTAAGTAAGTAAGTAAGTAAGTAAGTAAGTAAGTAAGTAAGTAAGTAAGTAAGTAAGTAAGTAAGTAAGTAAGTAAGTAAGTAAGTAAGTAAGTAAGTAAGTAAGTAAGTAAGTAAGTAAGTAAGTAAGTAAGTAAGTAAGTAAGTAAGTAAGTAAGTAAGTAAGTAAGTAAGTAAGTAAGTAAGTAAGTAAGTAAGTAAGTAAGTAAGTAAGTAAGTAAGTAAGTAAGTAAGTAAGTAAGTAAGTAAGTAAGTAAGTAAGTAAGTAAGTAAGTAAGTAAGTAAGTAAGTAAGTAAGTAAGTAAGTAAGTAAGTAAGTAAGTAAGTAAGTAAGTAAGTAAGTAAGTAAGTAAGTAAGTAAGTAAGTAAGTAAGTAAGTAAGTAAGTAAGTAAGTAAGTAAGTAAGTAAGTAAGTAAGTAAGTAAGTAAGTAAGTAAGTAAGTAAGTAAGTAAGTAAGTAAGTAAGTAAGTAAGTAAGTAAGTAAGTAAGTAAGTAAGTAAGTAAGTAAGTAAGTAAGTAAGTAAGTAAGTAAGTAAGTAAGTAAGTAAGTAAGTAAGTAAGTAAGTAAGTAAGTAAGTAAGTAAGTAAGTAAGTAAGTAAGTAAGTAAGTAAGTAAGTAAGTAAGTAAGTAAGTAAGTAAGTAAGTAAGTAAGTAAGTAAGTAAGTAAGTAAGTAAGTAAGTAAGTAAGTAAGTAAGTAAGTAAGTAAGTAAGTAAGTAAGTAAGTAAGTAAGTAAGTAAGTAAGTAAGTAAGTAAGTAAGTAAGTAAGTAAGTAAGTAAGTAAGTAAGTAAGTAAGTAAGTAAGTAAGTAAGTAAGTAAGTAAGTAAGTAAGTAAGTAAGTAAGTAAGTAAGTAAGTAAGTAAGTAAGTAAGTAAGTAAGTAAGTAAGTAAGTAAGTAAGTAAGTAAGTAAGTAAGTAAGTAAGTAAGTAAGTAAGTAAGTAAGTAAGTAAGTAAGTAAGTAAGTAAGTAAGTAAGTAAGTAAGTAAGTAAGTAAGTAAGTAAGTAAGTAAGTAAGTAAGTAAGTAAGTAAGTAAGTAAGTAAGTAAGTAAGTAAGTAAGTAAGTAAGTAAGTAAGTAAGTAAGTAAGTAAGTAAGTAAGTAAGTAAGTAAGTAAGTAAGTAAGTAAGTAAGTAAGTAAGTAAGTAAGTAAGTAAGTAAGTAAGTAAGTAAGTAAGTAAGTAAGTAAGTAAGTAAGTAAGTAAGTAAGTAAGTAAGTAAGTAAGTAAGTAAGTAAGTAAGTAAGTAAGTAAGTAAGTAAGTAAGTAAGTAAGTAAGTAAGTAAGTAAGTAAGTAAGTAAGTAAGTAAGTAAGTAAGTAAGTAAGTAAGTAAGTAAGTAAGTAAGTAAGTAAGTAAGTAAGTAAGTAAGTAAGTAAGTAAGTAAGTAAGTAAGTAAGTAAGTAAGTAAGTAAGTAAGTAAGTAAGTAAGTAAGTAAGTAAGTAAGTAAGTAAGTAAGTAAGTAAGTAAGTAAGTAAGTAAGTAAGTAAGTAAGTAAGTAAGTAAGTAAGTAAGTAAGTAAGTAAGTAAGTAAGTAAGTAAGTAAGTAAGTAAGTAAGTAAGTAAGTAAGTAAGTAAGTAAGTAAGTAAGTAAGTAAGTAAGTAAGTAAGTAAGTAAGTAAGTAAGTAAGTAAGTAAGTAAGTAAGTAAGTAAGTAAGTAAGTAAGTAAGTAAGTAAGTAAGTAAGTAAGTAAGTAAGTAAGTAAGTAAGTAAGTAAGTAAGTAAGTAAGTAAGTAAGTAAGTAAGTAAGTAAGTAAATAAGTAATAGATGTACACAGTAAACTACAACTCACCATTTGGTATTTCTTTAATTAATTCATATATAATTTGATCATTTTCATTGGTTTCATAATTTGTTTTTACTATAATACTAAATAATTGTTGATGAATTTGAATACTTTTCATTAAAATTAAACAAATACTTAATTTCGCTTCCATATATACATGATTTAATCTAGTTGGATAAATGAATTTCGATGGTGATAATTGATCATAGTAACTAAATATTGATTTTTTATTCGATTGTTTTTGTATTTCATTAAAATAATTACAATTTATATCATGCATAATATATTGATTTATTATTTGTATATGAGAAATATTCAATAATGAATGTATATCATTCAATGTATGAATAATTTCAAAATGTATAGTTTGTATTGTTGTTAATGATGGTAAACCATAATCGGAACATTCAATAAGTAAATATAAATCAGTGATTTTATCAGGATCAAATATCTATGTATGTAATCAGAAAAGAAAAAGAGAAAGATTTATAATTTTGTTAAATAAATAACAAATGGAACCAATTGGACAACCACTTCGTCCTAGTATGAGATTCGAACAGAGGATCTGTCAATCTCGTGCATGAATGTTTAATCTGTAAATGTTAACTCAGTAGTGTATGAAATTGATTGATCCTGGTTTTTAGTCCAGTTGGTGAGGATGTCGAGGCTAATTTCCTTTATGATCTGATTCCAACGAATACTATCCTGTTAACTGAGTATTTAATGCAGGTTAAATCTCCTAATAGAATTAAGAATTTATTTGAGATTATTCAAGAGCCTAAACACCAGTTATAGAGATCGTTTATTAATAAAGATTAGTAAAATCCACAAGCGTACAGGAAGCAAGCACACAGGGAAACCAAGTGAGAGTGTTAATGGATTGTGGATAAATTACTGATTGTCTATGTGTTACAACCAAAGGGAGAATAGATTAGAGATTGATTGATTGATTTAACAACTGATATACAGCACACTGTAACTAACGATGGATGACAGTAACTAGGAAATCGAGAAAAACTTGATAAAAAATAAGAAAATGGTTAAAAAGTAACTAAGTGTACTATAACAGTCGACAATTACCCTAGAACACATAAATATAAGCACACACTATCAAATAACAACAAAGATCATCAGAAAGTATCAGAAGGGGTTTTGTGGAGATTGTAGTAATTTCAATAGCTGAAATCATGAGTCAGTTGAAGCTAGACCACCGTGGAAAACCTGGGAGCGCTGGATGCCGGTTCAGTGGTCTAGTTAGTTAAGCGCCTGACGCGAGACTGATACATCCTAGGTTGGAATCCCGCGAGGCGGGTTCGCAGATGAGCACTACTGAAGAGTCTCGCAATAGGACGAAACGGCCGTCCAGTGCTTCCAGGTTTTCCATGGTGGTCTAGCTTCAATTGACTCATGATTTAAACTATTGAAAAGATGGATAAGCTGAAATCTTTATAGAGATGACTGAAACTTGGTCTCTTTTTTTTCGTCTTTTTGATTGAGGTCATGAATCGATTGATGTTAGAACATCATTGAAAATCTGGAATTACTCGATGGTCATTGAGTTCCATAATGGAACTTTTCAGTACTGTACATCTATAAGGTAAATGCCATTAACACTAAAATGTCTCTTTCCAAAAATACCACTGATATTATTCTGTAAACATCTAATTTTTCCAACCTGTATTTATTATTATTACAGATTAATAAATAATAAATGCTTAGGTATAAAGTTTCTAAGTATTTTTGACTTCAGATATAATCTCAGATTACTAAAATCAGGTATTTAATGTAAGGAAATCAATCGATTTATAAAACGATTAGAAAAGTTGATATACTCTAACAAATCACAAGTTACCAATAATTGTAGTATATGAATTGCACAAGCAGGTGGCTATCAAGACTCAGTATCTAAGTCTATAACGTAATGGCTTTTGAAGCAAACGGTATCGGGTTCCAGCCTCGGAGTAAATAACGACATCGAGATGCAAGTACATTCAAATGACGAGTCCCGAATAGGATGAAGCGTACGTCCTATATTCCACTGCTATCCACCATTCACCTTTGCTTATAATATTGTATATAGTATTTACTATGAAAATAGTTGAATCAAATCTCAGTAACCGCGTTATATATACCATGTTAGTTAGGCATTTGGTAAAATTATGTGTTTATTCTGTTTTATTGAACCACTGATAAGTATCGTTTATCCGTATGTACCGTTCTGATTAACTCATCTTCTTCAAATCTCCACGCATTCACTCATATGTAAACTGTAAACAAACAACTTAGGAAGCACTTAGAAACTTACAACCAATCAATAAATTGTAATTTTTCAAAATTAGACATTTACTATCAGTAAAATCAATGAGATGTATTCTGTCCTAAATAGCAATAATCCACCAGATATATCTGCAACCAGTTTTGATATTTATACATAGACTTCAAAGATGACATTTATCTTGACAAATACTCATCACACATAACGACTGATCTACCAAATCGAAATCATCAATACTTTATGTAACAGATATATACTTAGGATAAATGGTGATATCAAAGTAATCCACTCACTCAATAACCGTATATTTAAATAGAAATGGATCAATTACAATCATTAACCATGAATAGGTAACCCAAATATTCAAGCTGGCCAGCTTGTTACATAATAATAACAATATAAAAACAGGAAATATAGTTGGTTTAGAGTGATGTTGGTTTTTTGTTAAAGATAGTTACTAGTTTGTATAAAGTGAACATTAATTATCTGAATTAAGCAAAAAGTATAGTTATCCCATTTCCTAAAGTAATCACAAGTTTTAAGATGGATATTTTTCATATCCATTGGGAATCAGTTTTAACAAGCTGTCATCTATCAATTGATCGGTTGAGTAGTCTTGTTAAAAGAAGGGAAAAAAATAGAGAAGATCGAAATATGAATGACGGTGAATGTTTCAATACTAACACAATATTGTTCAAGATTAAAATGGTGTATTTAAGATCAAGTAGTTGATAAAAATAACTAAACTTTAGTAAGTAGGTTTGTGGTGTGAGTTACTTATATTCACATAAGTAGTATATAACGGTGGTCGAACATAAAATGTATTTCAGTAGATCGGGAAGGAAAGCACGGAAACGGAACGTAATTGTTATGTAAGGCATGAACAATAAAATCTGAGACAGTGGAATGATATTTACAAAGGAACAGTGAAGTTTGAGACGATGGATTGATATTTCGTAAATTAACTATTTACTATATGGTTCTCAAATTTTATTGGGATGCTCTGTAATTTTATGCTCAGATACAATCGATTGTCCGCACTCGTGTTATCGTTCACTACATTTGACGTCGCTGCCAACCAGGAGGGTGGGGATAGCTGTTTTTAGTGGACGCCGTTGCAGGCCTGGGGCTGAGGTGCCGGTTGAGACAGTCTGGTGCGAAGAAGTGACGTCGAGTGGAGTTTTCTGGCTAGGCGGCGTCGGCTGTAGCGAGTGCTGTCGACGGAGAGGAGCGGTGGGACATGAGGATGCTGGGGGGATATCGGATGTTGATGCCCCGGCAGGTCGACGGAGTTATGGAGGTCAGGGCGCCATATACTCGACGTTTTGACGGAGAAAAAAGTGGCACGGCGAGCAGAACCACCGCAAGAGCCCATGCTTTAAAGAGGGGACGAGCATGGTGTTGGTTACTTATACCCATATAGGTAGAACATATCGGTGGTCAGGCATAGAATTTATTTCATTAGAAAATCGATAAGAAAAGAACGGGAACGGAACGCAATTAGTACGAAAAGGCATGAACAGTAAAATCCGAGACAATGGAATGATATTTACAAAAGAACAGTGAAGTTTGAGACGATGGATTGATATTTCGCAAATTAACTATTTACTATATGGTTCTCAGATTTTATTGAGATACTCTGTAATTTCGTACTCAAATACATTCGACTGTCCTCACTTGTATTCTTATTCACTACAGGTTTTATACCTTCGTTCGATTTAATGAAGCTCCGTTAAACCTATATTTTAAATCTATTACTTATGTTAAAAAGAAGGTCTCAAAAAATGTCACAGATAAACTCAAATGAAACAGACAGATATTCATATCAAGGTTTATATTTCACATAACTAGTAATATACTATATAAATGGGTTACTAAAGGAAATATATTAATCTGACTATTACTAATGTTGTTTTATATGGTAGAGATCTTTCGAATATTGATTTAGTTAAAGCGGAGAACTTCAACAAAAGCACTTGTATCTTTGTAATACAGCTCATACATACAGTTAATTATATTCACTTTTCAACCAATAAAGTGTGACAAATATGACGGAAAATGGATGGTGGCTAATAGTGCAATCTAGGATACACTCCACTTTATCCTATTTGGGACTTATCAGTTGGATAAACCTACATCCTATAGTTAATATTCACTCTGGGACTCGAACTCAATATCATTTGTTTTGAATACCACTATATCATCCAGTAAGTTACTGAGTTCAAGTAGCAACTAGCTTGTGCAATAAATTGATATAACAATATGTAAATTACTAATGCTAACTTATTGTATCACTGTGTAATCCTACCTTTTATAACACTACATTAATTTGAATTTACCAGTCAATCATATGAAATAAAACAGTTCTAGTCGAAATAAATTAATACATGACATTAGATGGTGGTTAAAGGTAGTCGACAGGAAACCCTGGACCCGGATTTCGTGCTACTTGCCACTCGTCAGAAAGGTTTACCTGTAATCTTGAGGGAACTGGTGCTCCCTGGCGGATTCGACTTCGTATCAGCCAGCCTCACAGTCAGAGACGTCACCTTTGAGCTATCCGAGCCACGACCGACCTCCTGTAGGACTGAAATGTAATCACAATTGATTAATCACTGGGTGGCGATCAATGCCAAGTAGCACAAAACCTGGGTCCAGGGTTTCCTGTCGACTACCTCCAACCACCATCTAATCTCAATATGTATATGTCGAGTCACCTAGACTGGTGGCCACATTGCAACCTGATCGATAGCATTCGATCTGCACTAATAAGGACTAGACACGCATGACATTGATCGCCACTCAGTGATAAATCAATTGTAATACATGACATATTGAAGACTCATTGTTTCGTATTATGCGTTTTGTAATGAAAGCAATTGTGAATAAATACAATCTTACAAGCAAGTGTTTGACAGGCTATGAATATGTTAGCTACATTGGTTATTCGCTGATGTTTATCAAGTGCAAATCTTTCATTGCTCAAAGACTATGATCTCAGTGTGAGTAGTTGTATGGCAAGGTGAATGGTTGTCAGTTAATGTGATACATGTATTTAATTCTTTCAGGGAGCATCAACATAGCAACAAAAAAAGGTTCAAGATTACCAATCAATTATCGTTAACTATTCAGTCTTTTGTGAGAATAATCTGTTCTTTATGTATGATTATGGTTTATAACACACAGAATTTAAGTTGTATGTAAATGTATTGAATTGACACAAATAGGTGCTATTTTACTTAGTATTCATATTTTGGTCACCAGATACGTTCTGACTAAAGTAGTGTTAAGCCCCCTCCCCAACTGACTGTGCTTGTGACGTTATCAACTATTGAAATTGAGATTCACAGTTACTGGTTTCCATGGTCTGCAATTATGCCAGTCCTTTTTTTTCTTTAGATTTTCGATATTTGTCAATCAATTTCTGTGAGTAGCAATTGTGTCTTAGACATTTTTCGATGTTTATCAATTCTTCTTCCAGTTTGTCTGGGGTACATATTCTTTTTATTGTGTAAAATTAGTGCTTTGACCAACTCTTTCTCGTAACTGATTGGGTAAAACTATTGAAATTCCGGTAAAGACAGATATTGAACTATTGAACTATTTTATTATATTTTATCATTTTTACTAAGAAAAAAGACCTATTCTGTTGATCAACTGTCTTATCTTCTGACTTCATTGCAACTGGGTAGATTAGATCTAACATCAACAATTCAATCTGGTCTACAAACATCACTCGGATATATCTTATCATCATATTATGTTTTGAAGATCAAGAAAACTTTTTAAAAATTCCCAAAGATAATCTGAAAATGCTGTGTAATATTTTTATCCAATCAGCATTGGATAGAAGTATCTATGTTACTTCCACTGAAAACCTGGAAGCACTGGACGGCTCTTTCGTCCCATTGTGAGACTCCCCAGTAGTGCGCATTCATGATCTCGCTCGTTGGATTAGAACCTAGAGCATTTGATCTGGCGCGCGAATACTTAATCTCTAAACCAGTGAGTCCCACAATAGGGAAAAAATGCAGTCCGATGCTTCACGTTATTCAACGGTGGTCTAACATCAATCAGTTCATGATCTCAATCAAAAACTTAATGATCTCCACAACCCCTATGCTGATAACTATGTCAAATACATCTAGAAAGTTTGGAATCACGTGTCACATTTTAGGCCGAATGATTACCTATCCCACTGCTATGTTTAAAACTTACTTACTTCTCATGGAGGAGCATAGGACACACAACACCACTCACCATCCAACCCTGTCCTGAGAAATCCGTTTCAGCTTTTCCACTTGTTATTCATCCATTTCATGTTTGATTCTATTTACCGACTTAATGTGTTCTTTGATCTTTCTGTTTTCCGTTTTCCTCCAAGATTCCTAGTTAGCGCTTGCTTCGTGATGCAATTTGATGATTTCCGTAATATATTTCCTATCCACTTTTATTGTTTTTTCTTAATTTCCTTCTTAGCTAAAAGCTGGTTTGTTCTCTTGCACAAAAGGCTGTTGCTGATAGTATCCGGTCAGTGGATGTTGAGTATCTTGTGTAGACAACCATTTATAAATACTTTTACCTTCTTGATGGTGGTTGTTGTAGTTCTCCAAGTTTCAGCTCCATACAGTAAGACTGTTTTGACGTTCGTATTGAAGATTATGACTTTGATATTGGTTGAAAGTTGTTTTGAGTTCCATATGTTCTTCAATACATTATATTTGAAAGGAGTCAAGAAACATTTAGAAACATAAGATCATTTGAAATATAATAAATACCCTCAATGTTCTAAACATAACTTTCATTTAGAGTAAAGCATTCTTCCTATATTTCACATCTTTACCCTCATATTCAAGTTGTCATGTAAAGTTAGCTTGAGTGTTATGAATAGAGCTTAAGCAACCGTTTCAATTTTTATGTTTTTTTAATCAAAAAAAACCCAGAAAAAATCACTACCTACTTACTAATCATTTAAACTTACCATATTAGTTCTTAATTGATAATTATTGTGATTTGAAAATGAATCTATATTACTATTGTTATTATTAGTAGTAGTAGTAGTAACCGTAGTAACCGGCATTCCATCTTGTTTCCTTCCTGTTTTACTTTCTTCTTTTGATTTTCTTATAAATTTTTCATTTATTTTTTTATTTTTTTCTTTATATTCTTGTTGATTATTATTATTATTAAATAAATTAATAAAATTAAATGGTTCCAATAAAATAAATGATTGTTTATCATTTATATAATAATGATGATCAATATAATTGTTGCTATGCTGATATATTTTTGAATAAATCAATAATTGATTTTTAATGAAACAATAAACTGTACCATTTTCATTTAAATCTGGATCATTTATTATTAAAATATTAATAATTGTATTAATAGGTTGATTACCAATCATTTTAGTATGAATAGAATAATTATTTAATTGATGAATAATAGAACTTATATTGATTGATTGATTATTATTATCATTAATAGATTGCCAAATTTTATTGATTAATTGATTATTGATTTGAATCATATTATTATTTGATTGATTTATTGAATACCATGATGATTGTTTAAATTTAGATTGTTGTAATGTTATTGTTTCATCAATTAAATGTATCATTGGATAATTATCATTAATATCTAATATTTTTATAATAATCAATAAAATAGAACTACGTTGTGGTATACCTTGATCATATGCTATAATTATTAATTCATGTAAACCATTTGATAAAGGTGATTTTTCACGATCTAATGATTCTTTTATGATTAATTCACCAGTGATAGAATTAAGTTTAAAAAACTAAGAGAAAAAAAAAAGAAAAGAAAAGAGCGGGGGGATGGGTGGATGTATGAAATTGAAGGGTTCATAATCCTATAACTATTAAATTATTAAGTCTATGAAATTGGGGGGACGTTTTAAAGTATCACTTATTGTAATGAGTTATTTTAATTAATATTCTATGACATTCTTAACTATATTGTCAAGTCAACCATAATAAAAGTGTTCACAAGCTTATACACATGGTAACTGTTCTTTATTTATTATTATTTTTTATTTCAACACATAGATAATGGTACAAAGAGGCACCAAATACATATGCGCCACACAGATCTCATTCGGTATGTTTGAGGGCTGTGATATTGCCCGGGTGCCCAAACTGAAACAGGTGGTTTTCTTAGGGGGCCACTCCCCGAGCCTTCAACCCAAAGGTCTGATCCACATGGCAGTGGAGCATCGTAAGGAGATGCAGTCCCATGGAAGCCGGTGACCAACAATTGGTTCATACGCCATTTGTTCCCGCAGGATACTGGAGCCTATGTGCACCATTGGTTTGGGATCCGGTTTAAGCGCCAGACATTCGCTTTTCGTCCTCTCAATTTCGTTAACAACACCCCCGCCACGAGTAGGCAGTGAGTAGGAATTCCCTGGCAGAGCCTATTTACGCGAGGCCGTGTGAGAGCATTTCGAGAGGGAGAGCGGACTCTCCCCACTCTCGACCGTACCAGGGCATTTGGGATAACTGTTCTATTCATTAAATGATGTAATATGGAAGACAAGGTGAACAATATGAATATGATAATAATTAAATCTTAAAAGATTACATCATGAAATGTTAACAGGATATAGATTGAATTAAAGTATGCTCCATATAAGATTGTTTTGCTGTACGCTGATAGGCTCATTCTTATCCATTTCACGTTAGTCGATACTTGGAAAACACTTTAGAAACTTCTTATGTCAACACTATAAAATATGCTAATGTTTTTTTCCTATTGTGTTCCTTACTTCCATATCACCTTGTTATTTGAAATATAATCTGTTTTCCTATTGTACCATGTTCTGGTTTAGGGACTTATCGAGTGAATCGGTATCCGAGTATACTAAGCAATAGGAATAGATGGATTGTAATAAGAGAGAATTATAACATGAAATTATTGTGTATTTTATATGGTGAGGTTTAACAAAACGATTTGACCTTATTCAAGACAAATAAGTTTGTACATGATTATAGATGTAGATAGTCTTTGCCAGGATAAATCAACTATTTGTTATGTTCGGTCGTCGCAATTGTTGTGCCGGACAATATCGCTGATCACTTATACTCGGAACGAGGAACATCGGCAATTCCCACGATGCGAAAGTAAGAACAAAAAGACTGGTATAAGTGAAGATTTATTAGTCTCAGAACACTATGACGATGATGATGATAAAAATAGTCTAAAATACACTGGTTTATATATTGATTGTACACCCATTTTGATTAGTAATTAGGATTAGATCACATGCTCAGAGTTATAACAAATCACTTACTGAGCATAGTTCATGTCAACTGAATACAAGAATATCGTTTATCATACAGAAGAGAATATCATATTGGGAAAACAGTAACAAATACTACACTGAATGATCGTCACGTTGAATCAACACGGATGTCATGTTGAATAAAACTCATAAAGAGTAAATCAATCGACAATTGATTTTTGTTTCCATCATATCAAGCAATAATTAATCTACTGGGTATAACTCAAGTCCTAACACTATTGTCACTAGTTAAATAACAGATATCTGTTAATGAAGGGTTTTTATCATCCATATTATAAGTTAACTTTAATTGTACAACCATTGATATATAACATGAAGTAATGTAGGAATATTTCATTCTTATATGAAACGTTTAAGTAACACTCATTCACAAATCATCTAGACTTTACAATGAGCTCTTAACTTTTAAACAGCTAATACCAATGGTAGATAGTGCCTAACAGTGGAATCCAGTTTGACACGCGTTTCGTCCTATTTGGGACTCGTCAGCTGGATGTACATGCATCTCAGAGTTGATGTTCACTCTGGGACTCGAACCCAGTACCATTCGCTTCAAACGCCATTGCTTTATCCACTCACCTACTGAGTTCTAACTGATCAATTACAGTCTTAAACCTCAATGGGAAGTTACAAGACAAACAATACCAAGGTATATAGGATACTTTCTAATCCCCATAGATCAAAAATGATGTTAAAAACCTTCGAAGTACTTCATGAGTGAGTACTTAACTATTCCCAGTTATAAAGATTATTGATTTCATAGTTCGTATCACAGATTGTCTTTATTTAATAAACCAGTGAAAGTACTGTAAAACTAATTCGTTCTCATATGCCTTTTTTATTATTCGTTAACATGCAAACTAAGAAAAAGGTGATCAATTTAAGCTGTTTTGCTTTTTTTGAATCTTTCCTATTATTTGGTAGACTAATGATCATTGATTTTCTGATTATCTTCTTTCCGTGTAAATAAAACCATGGTTGCCTCAGATTTTTTTTTCAGTTCCATCATTTCAGAACAACAAACAATAAGTAAGATCAAGTCTACATTACGGAATGACCTTAGTTCAACAAACATCTTAAACTGGAAAGTACTGGAGTGATTGTTGTCTTAGTACAAAATTTATGAGAATTATGCAATCATTATCCAACCGTGAATTGAATCCTGAACCTGTAAAACATGTTAGTTTAGTAAACAATCACTTCCATTGGAATATATTAGAATGATTGAAGTTAGAAATGCATTCTAGTGGATCCCGGTTAAATGATCTGAAAATATATACACCCATTGAATGATCTAAATATTCTGAGTTTTGTTCCCACTGACACCATAGAAATGCACCATTGAAGAGTTTCAATACTAAAACAAAATAACTGTTCAATCCATCTTGATTTCCAATGGTTATCTAAATGATGTTAATCCATAATCTTGACTAAAAAAAACTCAATCATTTCTACAAACCTTTTTTTATGTTAACAAATAAAATGTTTATGTAAAAGTTTAACTCATGACTCAATTGAAGCTAAACGATCATGGAAAACCTGGAAGCACTGGATGGCCATTTCGTCCTATTGTGGGACTCCTTCGTAGTGCGCATCCACGATCCCGCTCGCGGGATTCGAACCCGGGACCTTCAGTCTCACGCGCGAACGCTTAATCTCTAGTTTAGTTTATAATTCGTTTCCTAATTCATTACAGTTTATAGGTGAAATTACTTTCGAAATTTTCAGACAAACTTTTTGAAAACCGTCTTATTCAATTGTTCTGTAAATACACTAGTACAATTTTGTCTAACATGTTATTCACTAAACTATCAAGATTAAATTAACACTAACTTGAGATGGTGGAGAAGATTTGTAGCTCAAGTGAATGATTTTGATGGAGTTTTGTTCAGTGAGCTAGAGTTTCTGCTGATGATATCGTTCAGAAGAACGATAAAAGTTTCACGACCAAACCTATCAGCTCAAAAGAAAACAAAATATCATCAAAATTAGCACCGACATATCCAACAAGCATAATAGTCATGATTTGAAGATGACATCTATCGATTTAAAGTCTCTGAATGAACATCCTGGGGATAAGTACATTCAACTGTTAAGTTTAATATACAACATATTCACTATCTTGATTAATATCAGTAATTGAAATTGTTGTTTGTTTTATCAATCTTATTTAGTTTGTTCTATTATTTTTTTTTAAAAAACAATCATTATTTTGTCTCCAACTATGAAATTTCATTCATGGCGCCACTTCAACAAATAGATTGTTATAAATCATAGCATAAACATTCGTTGACAACCGAGAAAAATTAATGACGTCAACAAGTCAAAGTGATAGCAATTTAATAATAAAAAGGTGACAATGTTTGATAAATGTAAGTGACTTATTAGTGACCGGTTGATCTTACTCCAGTTAGAACGTTTGTCGCTTGTTGTCATAATATTACATATCATCAATTCTCGTATCTAATCATTGACTTAAATCACGTTAGTGAATAAAAGAATGAAATAAGTCAAATAACGAGAATGGATTTTAAACACGTCTATTTGATGAGAACAGACGATCAGAAAAATGAATTGATGAGAAGAGAGCAAAAGCAAAGCGGACTGGAGAAGGCAACTGAGTCTACTCGATTTAACCAAACGCGAATTGTTACTTATGATAAGATAACATATATATTTACACATATGCTTACATAAATAGTCAAAGCACAAATGTGACTCAAGAAGGTTGACTAAATTGACCTGTCCAGAAGCTATGAAGAATGGAAATCAACAAATCACTGTTATTTAATCAGTAGGTTCATGAATAACATCTCATTCTTAATAAATGATTCGATCAGTAATCAACCATTATTATATTCACCAATGATGTTGAACAGAGTAAAACAACGATATCTAATTAAATATATATTTTACTGTACTGTTTAGTGTTATGCTGAAATGTTGATCACTTCACTAATTGTTGACCTATTGATTTGGTAAGTTAGTCATATATAGTGTAGTAGAACAAACCATTTAGATCAAATGGGTTTTGTGGATATTATAGTAGTTTCAATGATTGAGATCATGAGTCAGTTGAAGCTAGACCACCATGGAAAACCAGGAAGCACTGGATGGCCGTTTCGTCCTATTGTGAGACTCCTCAGTGTTACGTATCCTCGATCAGTGATGTGTAACTAATTGGAAAAAAACAAGAATTTCTCTACTGAAATTCATTCAATACTGAATATGATTAGTCAATATTGATTATTTTCAGTTAGTTGTTGTGGAAATTGTTGAATTTCATTGAAATCATTTAGATTAAATGTCTTGGTTTCGATTCCAGCGTGCGACATGGTAGATTCAAACTACTGAGGATTCCTACATTGTTATGAAACGACCAATCATTACTCCCAGCTTTTCAATGGTTGTCGTCCTATTATGGAACTGTTCAGCAGTACGAATCCACTAGTAATTGGCTTCAAGATGTATATACT